CTTTTATAATTATTAGTTGTAAAATGGTCACCAGGCAATATTATCGCTTATCGCAATAATTTGAGACAATTAATCGCCCAGCAAAATTTGTTATCGTGACAGGCCTAAGTTCAATAACAAAACACCACTCAGGTTCAGATCGCGTTGGCTGTTCCTCCCAACCACACCCCACTAGGTCTTTTGGTCATTACCCATGTGTTGAAGTCCTCCAGCAAAAATAAGGGAGGCCCCATCAGGTGGAGGGAGACTACAATATCAGTCATATAAGAATTCATTTATGACTTGTGTTTTGATTTTACTGATGGATTTTCTTTTTTCGTTTTTGAATGAATGAATAAGCAAATGATGTATTTAGTATACAGTAGCATAGATAATATTAGATTTGGCCAAAAATGAATCTTACTAATGGAATAAAAGTTTATAAATGAAGACATTTGTTTAAAGAAAACACTTATTCTTTAACGTACATACATTTTGATTAAAACTGTTTAGTAACCCCACCCCCCCACCACCCAAATGAGTCAGGCCATGGTGGGAGTCCCTTATTTAAATTTATTAAAGGTGGCAGCCCTACTATCCATGCTAGTCGCTAGCCTCTCTGATGCTAACACTAATGTATATTCTCTTTCTAATTTGTCAGTGTCAGCCGTTCAGTTACCGTGGCCAGCTGCTCAGTTAGCATTGCCGGCCTATCATTTTTCAGATCAATAGCTGGCTTAGGAATAGATATAGCTTCCTGCTACAAGGATGTAGCAACCACTGGTTGTACGTTAGTCTTAATTTTGGCCCTCATACTACACCATATTTGGTTCTGTCAGACTCTGAGCTCTGTGTGGACAGACTTCAGGGAGCAGAGATGGATTTATGTTGTCTTCTTAAAAAGGAACAAAATAAATCAAATTCAACTAAACTTTGATCCAGAAAGAACGCAGCAGAGTGTTGACTGTATCACCCCAACTTTAAGGTTCATCTGAATCTTTTTATTCACATTATTTAAAAAGTTTGATGTTTCTGATTAAACTGAGCAGATATTTGTAGACCAGATCCACATCTGTCCACATGAACAACATGAGAGGAATACATTTCTAAATTGACCTTTGACTTGGAAACTTCTTCAGTCATTTCTATGAAAATGTTTTATCTGATGAAGATAAAAAAGTGTCTTTAACTTGATCCAAACAGAACCCCTCATGGTTCTAAAAACTAATAATAATTCAAACAGCTGATCTCCACTGACTGATGATGGAATGAAACATCTGGACTCACACAAACTTTCTGCAGTTCCTCACAGCTGGAATCAGTCTCAGTCGACCCTCAAGTGATGTGTTGTACTTCTTCAGGTCCAACTCATCCAGAACCTCCTCTGACATCTGCAGCATGTAAGCCAGAGCCGAACACTGGATCAATGAGAGTTCCTCTGATCTGCTTTCTGACTTCAGGAACATTTGGATCTCCTGAAAAACTGAGAAGTCCTTCATCTCCATCAGACACTGGAAGATGTTGATGTTTCTGTCTGGAGACACTTTATCACTGATCATCTCCTTCAGGTTGTTGACGATTCTCTGGATGGTTTCTGGACTGATCCCTGTCTGACCCAGCAGACCTCCTAAGAATCTCTGGTTGGACTCCACAGAGAGGCCATGAAGGAAGCGAACAAACAGGTCCAGGTGGCCATTTTTACTTAGGAGGGATTTCTCCATGACTCTGTTCAGGAAGTCATCCAGAGATGAGCATTTGTACTCCTCTCCCAGAAACCTGTCCATCACCTCCATGTTCTTCAGAAACCTCTCTATCTCCTCCATGTTCTTCAAAAAAATTGTCTTCATCTCCTCCATGTTTATCAAAAACCTCTCCATCTCCTCCATTTTCTTCAAAAACCTCTTCTTCTTCACCTCCATGTTCTTGAGAAATCTCCTCTTCCCCTCCATGTTCCTGTTGGTGAAAGAGTGGAACATGTAGACTGCAGCCAGAAACTCCTGAACACTTAGATGAACAAAGCAGTAGACTGGTTTCTGGAAGATCATACACTCTCTTTTGAAGATCTCTGTACAAACCCCTGAGTACACCGAGGCCTCTGTGACATTAAGACCAAACTGCTCCAGGTCTTCTTGGTAGAACATGATGTTTCCTTCAAGCAGATGTTCAAAAGCCAGCCTCCCCAGCTTCAGAAGAACTTCCCTGTCAGCCTCTGTCAGCTCCTGTGGACTGGTCTCAGGTAATTCATGGTACTTGTTCTTCTTCCTGGTGGTTTGGACCAGCAGGAAGTGTGAGTACATGTCAGTCATAGTCTTGGGC